TATCGATACGTACGTTAGTCGCTTGGACCATGGTGGTCATATCAAAAGTGAATGGACCTCCAATCATGACCAGGTTCGCTTCAGGAAACGTACTGGCTCGAAATCTCTGGAGAACGAGGCCGTGACAGGGCGCGTCACCGATATACACGCGATGGGCGATAGTGTGACCTGACGCGAATGTGACGGAGCTTCCTTAATCGGGGGGCGCACAACGTGCGTCATAGGAGGGGAAGAGGTATATAAGAGGCGGAGAGCCCGCCCCGTGTCTTCATCTCCCCCATCTCCTCCCTCGTACCCCCACCATGTCCTACCAAGTCAAGGAAGTGCAGACGAAGCCCTTCGAGGGCCAGAAGCCCGGCACCTCCGGCCTCCGCAAGAGGTGAGCGCTTTCCTGCCCATATCGGCTATGATCAGTACCGCGGTCGTATCGGGGATTTGGTCGGTTGTGAGCGTGCAGAAGACGTGCATGGCGGGCGAAAAGCTGTTGCGGCACAGAATATGGTAGACATGCATGCTGACACGAATGCAGGGTAAAGATTTTCCAGCAGGAGGTGTGTCCGTCTTGCGAAATCTCTAGATGACATTCTAGCTCATAGCGCCTAATTGCAGCACTACACCGAGAACTTCGTGCAGTCGATCTTCGACGCCGTCGACCTCAAGGGAAAGACGATCGTCATTGGCGGTGATGGTCGTTACTTCTCCCCGGAGACCGTTCAGACTATCCTGAAGATCGGTTCCGCGAACGGCGTCGCCAAATTCATCATTGGCAAGGACGGCATCCTCTCTACCCCCGCCGCCTCGAACATCATCCGCAAGTACAAGGCTGACGGCGGTATCCTCCTCACGGCAAGCCACAACCCTGGAGGCCCCAACGCAGACTTCGGTATCAAGTACAACGTCTCTAACGGTGGGCCGGCACCGGAGAACGTCACCAACAAGATCTTCGAAAAGACGAAGTCGATCTCCAGCTACAAGGTCATCGAGCTTCCTCCCATCGACCTTTCCAAGAAGGGTTTCTTCACCTACGGCCCTTCCAATGTCGAGATCATCGACTCGGTATCAGACTACCTCCAGCTCCTCGAGTCCATCTTCGATTTCCCCCTCATCAAGAACTTCCTCCAGTCGCATGCCGACTCCTTCAAGGTCCTTTTCGATGGCATGCACGGTGTTACCGGGCCCTACGGGCGCGCCATTTTCGTGGATGCCCTCGGCCTCCCCGAGTCGTCGGTACAGAACGCGCAGCCTCTTCCTGACTTCGGCGGTGGCCACCCCGACCCCAACCTCACGTACGCGCATGAGCTCGTGGAGCGCGTCGAGAAGGAGGGCATCCACTTCGGTGCGGCGAGCGACGGTGACGGTGACCGCAACATGATCTACGGGAAGGGCGCGTTCGTCACTCCCAGCGACAGCGTTGCTATCATCGCGGACTGGGCGGCCGAGGCGATCCCCTACTTCAAGAAGGGTGGCGTCAAGGGACTTGCACGCAGCATGCCTACTAGCGCGCAGATCGACAAGGTTGCTAAGAAGAAGGGCCTGGAGTGCCATGTCGTCCCCACAGGTAAGGTCGACGGACGGACGTCGAGTATGATGTGCATATATTGACCGCTTTCCCGCGGCAGGCTGGAAGTTCTTCGGCAACCTGATGGATGCTGGCCGCCTTTCCATCTGCGGTGAGGAGTCCTTCGGTACGGGTTCAGACCATATCCGGGAGAAGGACGGTGTCTGGGCCATTGTCGGTAAGTCATGTCGCGCATAGTAGTTTTCCAACGCTCGAACTCATGATGACCTTAGCTTGGCTAAACATTCTCGCCTATGCGAACCAACAGTCGCCGAACAAGCTTGTCGGAATCAAGGAGCTTCTGGAGAAGCACTACGCGGTGTACGGTCGCTCGTTCTTCTCGCGGTACGACTACGAGGAGGTTTCCTCAAGCGGAGCGCAGCAACTCGTGGATGGCATCAACGAGCACATCGCCAAGGGCTCGCTGACGAGCACCTCTCATGAGTCGAAGAGCACCGGTCAGAAGTTCACTGTCGCGGGTGTGTCCAACTTCGACTACACCGACCCCATCGACGGCAGCGTCAGCCGCAACCAGGGCCAAATCATCACCTTCGACGATGGTTCGCGCGTTGTCTTCCGCCTGAGCGGTACTGGTAGCCAGGGCGCGACCGTGCGGATGTATGTCGAACGCTACGTCCCGGCGGAGGCGGGTCCCGCGGAGCTCAACAAGGACACCCAGGAGGGTCTCAAGGGCCTTATCGAGGTCGCCCTCCAGCTCAGCAAGCTCCCCGAGTTCCTCGGTCGTGACAAGCCCACCGTCATCACGTAAGGGATGGAGGGATTCGCGTCGGTTTGGCACGGACAATAGGCATCGTGTAGATTTGGGGGTTACGAAGGAGGAAGTACAAATCGGATGTATTCATACCATCTTGCTCAACGATCTTGTTATGTCCAACGTCAGGTCATCTCTGCGATTGTGTGTCCCCCAGCCTAGTCGGCGATAGCGGCCAGCTCCAACTGCATAACGCGTCCTGTTCTAGTCTACTGCGAGCACAGAGTGGACGTTACGCCCTAGGGCGGTGTACAATATGTACGCGACGGCAATTGCTGCCAACCCAGCAACGGCAGACACGCCAACCATCTCCATCCATACTTCTTTCCACATCTTCTGAAGCACTCGTGCTCGTGCAGGATCTCGCCTGATGCTCTCTTCCTCCACAACTCCCGGAGCGATGTCCCCGCCGGCGGATCCGCCAGCCTCTCCTTCTGCCCCATCCACATCCCGGACCGTCGTCCGTGGGCGGAACGTCGTGCGCCTGAGCCCCAGATTCCACCACACGCTGCGTATCATGCCCTCCCGAAGCACCGTGCGCCGCGCCTCGCGCCATCCCGCGCGGGGGTACCACCGCGCGAACACGTGCGACACGCGCTGCACGAGCAGCAGCGCGTGCATGCGCAGGCGCGTGCGGAGCGACGTCGGCGGGAGGCCGAGGTGCGCGGCGAGCGCGGGCCCGAGGAGGTAGGTCGTGAGCGCGATGTTGTACTCGAGCGAGGTGTGCAGCGGGGGCCGGTTCGAGACGGCGACGAGGATGGGGATGGTCGGGCCGCGGAGGATCGTGCCGCGTCGCGCGCTGTCACTATCCGTGCGGGACGAGGATGACGATGGAGGGAGAGGGGGAGGGGAGGGGGACGAGGGAGGGGAGGGGGACGAGGGAGGGGAGAGGTCGTCGGAGAAGAGGTGGAGGGCGGTCGTGACGAGGAACTTATCCGCGGTGCAGGTGTCGCGAAAGTGCCGGAGGAGGATCTGGGGCGAGACGCCGAGGTAGTAGCCGACGTGTCGCCAGAGTGCGAGGTATGCGCTGGCTTGGGCGGGGGCCGGAGGGAGGCCGAGGCGATGAAGGCACCAGATTGGTATAGTGGAGAACGCAGCGAGTCTATGGGCTTATGTTAGTCTCCGCAGCTAGCGGGCGGGTGATGAGGGCTCCAGTCCTTACGTTGCTCCCATGTCTTCCTGGCTCACGGGCACTCCAACGTCGACATGTTCTTCTTTCGACCATCGTTCCTCTGCTCTCCAACGAGCAATCCCATGTAACAGGCGCACTCGTACTGCTGAGCGCCACCCATCGCCCCCTGGTAAGAGATACGAGACAGTGGCCGTACGGGCAGGGTCGGGATCTTGCTGGCCAGGGGGAGGAAGTTGGGAGCCGCATCCCATCACCTCCAGCACAAACTGAAACGTCTCTACCAGTCGTGAGAAAGTCCTATCTGTGGAAGCTTTGGTGATGTTGGCGAGTATGTCTGCTAGTTCTGGCCGAGCGGTATCATGGGGAGTATGCCGCACGTGCGGGACCAGATAGGATACTGCCTCCAGCGTACGCACTATTCTCGGACTGTGAAGGACATGGGGGAGGTTGAGTGCCAGGAACTCAAATGCCTACAGCACAATGCGACGAACCTGGCAAACCCTCCTGCAAGACTATAGTGCAACAAGGCCTGCATGATCTGGATCGAGTTGTCTAGGAAGAACTCCTGAGCGAGCGTCACTTCCTCTTCGGACGCCAAAATGCCCGCCGGCGGCGGGTGGTGCACTTCTTGTAGAAACTCGTGTACTGCCTCGACCGAGCCTGCAGACACGGCATAATCTTGGAGCGTCTTGAGCAGATCTTTCCCTACGCTGATTGAGGGGTTATTGAAGATTTCTCGCAGGGCTCTGTCGCACGAGGGGTCGCCGAGTTGCCTCCACCTGATAATCGAGCGGCCGTGAGGAGGGGATTACACACTCGATTCTCGAGCAACATACCTCTCACACATCTCGATAGTGACGCAGTCTTCGTCCCATTCGTATACATGGTCGAACGAGTTGACCACGTCCCCGGACTGGAGCGCTCTTGTGTCCTGGGGATCACGGACGTACTTGACTTCGCTCTCCTCGTGTGGCCGCACGTTTCCAATGCGATAGTGCATATTGCAGTGGTTGAGAATCCTCCGCGGCCCTGGTGTGAGAAGGTGAGTGTCGATGACAAACCCCTGTGGCTTCGCCGACAGAGCCCCATCCCGGTCAGCATGGCATTTCCGCGCTCGGAAGAGGACAGTGACGCTGTTCAGCCGCGGATCGAGGGATTGCGCCTGACTGTTCGCGTGTCATCGTCGTTGCTACATGCTTGCAGACATCCTAATTTAAAGCGAACAATCGTGGGCGTACAGGTAGCCCGAAATAGCCATCGGGATTACACACTTGTGCAGCTCCTCCTGCTACAACGAGGCATGTAGTACTGCCGGAGCAACATACATAGTTGTCAATATGCACAAGGGAGTAACTGCGGTTTAGCCGTACCTGCGTAGCCCTGCAGGGTATGCCGAGTGGCACAGGCTGTCCCATTGCACGGATCTGTCGTTAGTGAACCCCCGAGAACTTTTAATGAGCACGTCCCAGCGGAAAGGTGCGCCTACATACTCAACGCCTAATAACACTCGATATATATACCACTGTAACATGGCCCAAGGTCGAGTGGTGTAGTGGTTATCACTCCTGTCTTACATGATTGTACACAGGCGGTCGTCGGTTCGATCCCGGCCTCGATCACTTTTTGCTCACTTCAGCTAGCCGTTGACTGTAACTTGAGCGCGAGTGCTTACAGCCTGGCGTCGCGCCTTGCTCGCTGACCACCATCTACCATGTCTGCTAGACTCGCATTCTCTTCGTTGTCTCGTGCTATTGCTTCTCGCGCTGGTCTTGGTTCTGCGCGAGCTTTATACGTCGCCGCGTCTTCCGTGCGGGCACACGGCCTATCTCGCGGAAAGGCGTCACTGCCGGTGCTGGCCAGAAGTGAGTGCTGTCTATCCTTCACCTTCACTTGGAATTCTGATGATTTGATCGTAGGATGGGCGACATCGACAACGCCGAACTCGTCTGCCGTTAATCCCGCCGAGGTCGAGGCTATGCAGTGCCTAGAAGAAGGCACGCAAAAGCTGGAAGAGGGAGATGTTCAGGCGGCCAAGGTCCGTACACGGCGCTATGACAGGTCACTGCAACCTTCGCCTCATTTGTGTGCTAGGAGCTTTACAAGCGCAGCGTGGACATCAAGCGCACTGCGAGCTCGTTGTTTAACCTGGGAGTCACGCACTACCACTTGAGTAAGTAGTCGGTATTCGTATATTATCCACGAGCTAACCGCCGATGTGTAGAGGAGTTCGACGAAGCTATCGCCGCATGGAAAGAAGCTATTTCTCTCCAACCTGCGAGCGCAGATGCGCATACCAGTATGATCATTGTATTCGTTATGCTCATCCTGCGTCTAAAAATGAGTTTCTCCAGACCTGGCTAGTGCATACATTGTTTCTCCTGTGAGCAGGCCAGACCTTGCCCTCCATCATTTGCGGTATGTGCATCTATACTCCCGAATTGAACGTCAACTCACGAGTTTCGATTCAGTGTCGCCGCATCTCTCGCACCAGAAGATGCCGAGATTGCATTCAATCTGGCTGCTGTGCTTGAGGCGTGCGGTTTCTTGGAGGAAGCTCTCGAGCAGTACAAGCGCAGCAAGGAGTATGGAGTGGATCGTGCTGAGATGCACATTCGCAATGTAAGTCGTCAGATTTTGCATCGTGTTCGGCCCAACTCACCACGAACCTCTCAGGTGAGCGCGAAAATTCTTGGCAAAAAGCTGAAAGCCGTCGAGGAGGAGGCCAAGGCATCAGAGGAGAAGCCCGAACCATCATCGTAAAGGCCGCCGTCCCTAGTCGCAGCAAGCTACGCATGCCAGACTCTCCCATACTATACAGCGTCCCCGTATTATAATACTCGCTGCTCAGTATATCCTACAGTATAATCCCTGCTCCCCCTCGATGCTCTGGTATAAGCTGAGCTAGCGGCCCCCGAACAAGAAAGATGCAAGACAACCTCAATTCACTGGCAGCGGCGGGACGTCCGGGACGACGTAGTGCATCGTCTTCATGGCTCCCAGTATCTGCGGGTCGATAACGCTTGACGCCCTTGCCTTCCACTGAACCTCCGTCCCCACCGCAGACGCCGGAGTCTGGACGGCGGCACTCACACCGCTGTCGCGCGTGCGGTACATCTTCGACGTCGCGGACGAAGGCACGGGCGACGTGAAGTCCCGCTCGAACCCTCCTGCATCCCCACCGTTCTGCTCCGCCGTCCACCCGTCGACGCTGTCCCCGATCTCGAGAGGCGGCACGGGCTTCCGCGTCTTGTAGGACGGCGCGACCGACGTAGGTGAGTCCCCCCGTCTGGGCAGCGACGCGGTAGAGGACACCTGGGCGACGCTCGTCGAGATGGGGGACGGGGTGTACGACGACGGCGGGCGGCGGTTGGGCTCCAGGCGTCCCAGCGCCGGCCGTGGCATCTCGATCTGGCTGAGGCGCGGCTTCTCAGGCTCGGGCAGAGCGACGGGCAGCTGCGTGTCGAGGGAGTTCGAGCTGGACGAGAGGCCGAGCCACCGCGCGGTCGGGTACGGCATCTTGCCCCGCGTCTTCGAGGACGAAGCGGGCGGCCGTCGTCGGCAGGGAGGGGTGCGGAAGCAGAAGATGGCGAGGCCGAGGAGGATGAGCGCGGCGATGGCCGCGATGACCCCTCCGGCGATGACGGCCGCGTGCTTGTTCGAGGAGGGTTGTGCATCCCTAGCCTCTGAAGAAACCGGTGATGCGGACGGGGTGCTGGCCGAAGACGTCGACGTGGGTGAACCGCTGAGCTGGTACATAGTAGAGCTCGCCGGTGGCACGGCTGGCGGTAGCGCAGACGCATTCCCACTACAGGCCGCAGTCGACCCATCGATGAAGAAAGGCAACGACTGTGCCTCCGAGGGCAGGCCAAAGGTCTGGTAAACGTAGTACCCCGCGGTGTAGCCTATGGGGATCCACGAGAACGACTCGGAGCTTGCGTCAACCTCTGCAAGCAGCGACACCTGGCTACCTAAATTCCCTAAAAGGGGTGCGGTGGAGTTGGCGATCAGGAGTCTCAGTTCAACGTTCGGACCGGTATATGCCCAAGCGACTGTGTTCAACACACAATTTTGCATGAACGGGGTGAGAGTGAACTGGAAGGACGGTGTCGTGTAGGATAGTGCGAATGACGGCTTATCCTCCGGTGATTCTGTCGCCAGCAGAGGCTTTGACGACTCGAACAGAGGATCGGGTACGTTGAGCTCGGCTTCGTCCGACGCCGGGGGGTCAGAAGGGATATCCTCCACTGCTGTAGCCAACGACGGCGTTGAGCGGGAAGAGCGTGGCTCTTTCAGCCGCCTCCGGAGGTGGGTCGGAACGTCCAACGTGTACTTGGGTCGCGAGAGGCTTGCTGATGGCGTAGAAAACGAGTGTAGAGAGGGCGTCTTGGCCGACCACATACCCCCCTTGGCCATAAGCTGATCTCTCCGGGATTGTGGGGCCATAGAGCAAGAGGTCTGAGGAGCGCCAAGAGAATGGGCGGTAGGCTGTAGCGTGGACTGGGAAGGTGCGCAGGTGGCCACTGCTCAGCGGGGGTGGTCCCAGGGCAGTCAGTAGTACGCCGACAGACCGTCGAGTATATCTGGCAGTCTTGTGCGAAGGCATCATGATGGTTCGCGCAGCGATCTGTCGAACCGTTGGATGTAGAACCCAATCGTAATGGTCCCAAAGATGGAATGTCTCTCACAATCTGGTCGCCGTTATGGTATGCGTGCCCTTCTAGTCGACGGCAAGCTCGGGCATCCTAAAACGTTTCCGTCATCGGTAGAATATGTCTGGGAAGACCGCAGTGTGACGATGCGATGCAGGTTCAGAGGGGGGGGGGATACGTCAGCTTGGGGGGTTCTCACCGCTATGACGACGTACCGCCGGTCATGTCGTCTTGGGGGCGGCAGGGGATGATCATCTCAAAAGACGTTGGGCAAGACGTGGTTGCGTGGGACTCGTATGCATGACGAAGTACGAGTGTGGGACTATTTATTGACCATCCAGAACCCAATCAGACGTGGAACAAAGGGGTAGTAGGTGCGCCGGGATTCGTTCAAGACTCTGGCTTGTAAGCCAACCAAGAATGGATACGATGATCAGTAAGTAACACGAAGCTCGGTGCGATGCGTCGAAAGGCAGTGTCCAGACCTCCCATTCGAGTGCCCAATACCCTATGAGTTGGGCTTGAATCAACGATCATCTCAGGAAGGCATGCCTGCACACTTACATTGCTCAGTAGCTAGAGCTCCGGTCTGGTAACGGAGGAACTGCAGGGGCAGCCTCCGAGCGCATCCTCTGCGTATGCGTGCGCACGAGTGGCCGCGGCCCACGACAAGCGCTCCACACCTCTGAGACTACGCGCTCGGGCGGCTCGGGGGTGTCCGGCGATGCCATCCACATGCTGTCCCGGATGCGGTACATCTGCGAGGTTGCTGAAGAGGGTACGGCGGATGCGCTACTCGGCCTTCGCATGGGCAAGACGGCCGAGCTGCGTCGGCGCAGCCAGATGACTGACGCAGCATCTGTCGAATCCACAGTGGGGGACCGGCGTAGCGGGTCGGTGGGGGAGACCTCTGAGGAAGGTGGGGGTGGTAGCTCCTTGTCCACCTGGAGAATATGGGCGGGCGGCGGGATGGTAGGTGTGGGCTCTGATGGCTTGGGAGAGACGCTGACCGGAAGAGCGTCAAGGGTAACCGAGGGCTTGCGGCGATTCGGCTCCAAGCGGGGGAGGTGGTCGGCAGACCGGAGCGGTAAGATGTTTGTCTGCAGCGGTGCAGCGGGGCGCTCCTGCATGGAATACAATGGTTCTGGGACGTTGATGTTCACATGGGACGAGAGCCCGCTCCAAGTTCTCCGCGGCCCACGGGGTCCGAAATGGGTGAAGTCCCGCCACCTAAATCTAGGGACTGCTCGCCGACGGAGGCGAACGTAGATGTACATGCCCGCGAGAGCCATCAAGAGGACAAGTCCTCCTATGACCCCTCCAACTATGGCGCCAGCACGAGAGGCATGGACATGGGAGTTCGACCCTCTTGAGGCCCCCGGTGAAGGATCGGGTGATGAAGCGGATGGGAGCCATAAAGGAGGGTTTAGGCACGACGCTGATGTGCCGCGGGAAACGACCAGCGACTGCGAAATGCTAGAGATGCTTTCTCCTACAGCAGTTATCTCGTATACGCCAGGGGTGACGTTGACCGGATGCCATTCGTACGACTGTGAGCTGGCGGCCACATCGTAGGCGAAGAGGGAGAGGGAGAGCGGTGGATCCGAGGAGGTCGACGATATGAAAAGCGAAAGGTCTTGACTAGGGCCGGTATAGTTCCATGATATCGTAGCGTTAGCACAGGTTTGTAAAGACGGAAGTTGAGCGAACGTGAGGCTAGTGGCGGAGGCCCCTAAGTCGGTGCGGCGAGAAAAGGAGAGCGTTTCAGCAGCTTCCGCAAGCAGTCGGGCAGCGGGGGGAAAGGTAGGAGCAGGCATGTCGATGAGGTTCGTTCACATGCGGAGGGCAGCCCGCGAACCGCCTCTGTAGGGCATGCGCGAGCCCGACTTAACAAATTGACAGTCCATGCCCTGCTTTGGCACTTGTCCGGGAATGGATGTCGGGTGTGCCGAAGGGTCGTCGAGGGAACG